AAGTATTACCTGGAGGCCATTTGAACTCTAGCACTCCAGTTTAGCAAGTATTGCGTATGGCATCAAGGAAGACATCTACTACTTGTCACATTTAAAAAATGTTGTTTCTAAGCAAGTGGTTTGAAAAATGTGTCGCTTTGGATTTTAAATCATTTCATTCGTTTTGCGATTGCTGGCAGATGAGCTGTTTGTCTCCAACCACTGTTGATAGCAGTGATAGACAAGCCTAGATAATCTGCACACTAAATTGGCTCTAGCTGTTGCCAAAAATGCATTCAAGTTTTGCTAGTTCACAATATTGAGGTCCTGACTCCAACTTTTGGAAGCACTAGAAGTAATAACATTAAACTGAATGCCCAGAGGCAGAATTCCTTTTAATGGCATGTGTAAAAAAAGTATTCAAACCTCAGATGTAAAAGGTTTTTGGATTTTCACTGCTGAATTTTTAAGAAAATCTGATGTTTTTGAGTACCGTGACAAAAAATACAAAATTGTTCCCGGTCTAAGCCCTGGGCAGCTGGCGACATCTCACGGGGAGCTAGAGTACACAGTACTAGAGTACAGCTAGAGCACACAGTCCCCAAGTCCGGTTTATCTGTGTTAACATTATAGCAGAGGACAAGTTTTCATCAAGTCAGATGTAGCTTATGATTTGATTATGTGATTATGTGATTTCTCAGTGTGAAAGAAAGAAAGAAAGAAAGAAAGAAACTATAATTCAATAATCTACAGAAAAGTAAAACAATGTGCTGCCAGTTTTACCGTTGTGTATGTATATATATATATATATATATATATATATATATATATATATATATATATATATATATGTATATATACATATGTGTATATATATATATGTATATATACATATATATATATATATATACAGGGAGTGCAGAATTATTAGGCAAGTTGTATTTTTGAGGAATAATTTTATTATTGAACAACAACCATGTTCTCAATGAACCCAAAAAACTCATTAATATCAAAGCTGAATGTTTTTGGAAGTAGTTTTTAGTTAGTTTGTAGTTTTAGCTATTTTAGGGAGATATCTGTGTGTGCAGGTGACTATTACTGTGCATAATTATTAGGCAACTTAACAAAAAACAAATATATACCCATTTCAATTATTTATTTTTACCAGTGAAACCAATATAACATCTCTACATTCATAAATAAACATTTCTGACATTCAAAAACAATACAAAAACAAATCAGTGACCAATATAGCCACCTTTCTTTGCAAGGACACTCAAAAGCCTGCCATCCATGGATTCTGTCAGTGTTATGATCTGTTCACCATCAACATTGCGTGCAGCAGCAACCACAGCCTCCCAGACACGGTTCAGAGAGGTGTACCGTTTTCCCTCCTTGTAAATCTCACATTTGATGATGGACCACAGGTTCTCAATGGGGTTCAGATCAGGTGAACAAGGAGGCCATGTCATTAGTTTTTCTTCTTTAATACCCTTTCTTGCCAGCCACGCTGTGGAGTACTTGGACACGTGTGATGGAGCATTGTCCTGCATGAAAATCATGTTTTCCTTGAAGGATGCAGACTTCTTCCTGTACCACTGCTTGAAGAAGGTGTCTTCCAGAAACTGGCAGTAGGACTGGGAGTTGAGCTTGACTCCATCCTCAACCCGAAAAGGCCCCACAAGCTCATCTTTGATGATACCAGCCCAAACCAGTACTCCACCTCCACCTTGCTGGCGTCTGAGTCGGACTGGAGCTCTCTGCCCTTTACCAGTCCAGCCACGGGCCCATCCATCTGGCCCATCAAGACTCACTCTCATTTCATCAGTCCATAAAACCTTAGAAAAATCAGTCTTGAGATAAATCCCTGACTTTTATTATTTTATTATCTGTCTTTTTATTGACTTTAATTATCTGCCTTGTTGTGCATTTTATTGTTGACCGTGTATTGTTTTATATTGTGTTTTTACTTTTTATTCTGTACAGCACTTTGGTCGGCTGCCATGCCGTTTTTAAATGTGCTTTATAAATAAAGATGGTATTGTATGGTATGGTATTTCTTGGCCCAGTCTTGACATTTCAGCTTGTGTGTCTTGTTCAGTGGTGGTCGTCTTTCAGCCTTTCTTACCTTGGCCATGTCTCTGAGTATTGCACACCTTGTGCTTTTGGGCACTCCAGTGATGTTGCAGCTCTGAAATACGGCCAAACTGGTGGCAAGTGGCATCTTGGCAGCTGCACGCTTGACTTTTCTCACTTCATGGGCAGTTATTTTGTGCCTTGGTTTGTCCACACGCTTCTTGCGACCCTGTTGACTATTTTGAATGAAACGCTTGATTGTTCGATGATCACGCTTCAGAAGCTTTGCAATTTTAAGACTGCTGCATCCCTCTGCAAGATATCTCACTATTTTTTACTTTTCTGAGCCTGTCAAGTCCTTCTTTTGACCCATTTTGCCAAAGGAAAGGAAGTTGCCTAATAATTATGCACACCTGATATAGGGTATAGATGTCATTAGACCACACCCCTTCTCATTACAGAGATGCACATCACCCAATATGCTTAATTGGTAATAGGTTTTCGAGCCTATACAGCTTGGAGTAAGACAACATGCATGAAGAGGATGAGGTGGACAAAATACGCATTTGCCTAATAATTCTGCATGCCCTGTATATACACATATGTATATAGATGTATATATACATCTATATGTTTAATGTAATAACTTCTTCTGAAGGCGGTGCCGTGGCCACTCGTTAGCTCATCTAGTTTTGGCTGTAATCCAAAAGGGCACGAAGGGTAGCGGTTCCAGATGGATTTGTAGTTGCAATATGTAGATTATTATTTTAGATTAAACCATTAAGTGAATATTGCTGATCAGCCTTTGTAGTCAGCTGTGCTAATGGTCATTGCAGGAAGCTAGTGTTGTGCTTCAGCTCACTATGTTTCTTCTCAAAAACAGTTTTATGACTTTAATGTTGCTATGCTAGTTAAAAATGCATATAGGACTTCGACACATGGCTCAGACTTGTTGCTGCAGCTGTAAATACAGTTCTCTGTCATTGTTGAGAGCACAAAGTTGAACAAAATACAGCTAATCACATGGCATTATCTGCAGCAGCTGCCCTGTGAGATGTAAGCACAGAACAGTTTTCAGTATTTAGGGGAAAGAATTTTGTTTTTCTGTAATGATTTATAACAAAATTGCTTAACAAAATGAAAAATGTAATCCGGTTTTATTTTTTATAGAAAGTGTAGTTAAACTGAATTCCTACATGAAGAGTCTGGCCAATCCCTTTAAAGAGTCCTAGAATTTCAAAACCACGTTTACCTTGTTGAATAAAGGCTGCTTGGTGTGTCTAATGTACCAAAAACTTTGTTCCATCTTCGACCTGCTTTCCTATGCAAATTAGTAAAGTTGTAAAAGTCGCTGAGAAACATTTTAATCTGAGAAAAGCTTATACCCTGGTTTGTTTGGGCCGTTTATCGGGGCTCCTGGGCCATTGTTAGCCCCAACAATGTTTCATAAACTATATAGAAGCTCAAAGAGCAGTTTCCAATTGAAAGTTGTTCTTTAACCTCCTTAAGAAGTAAAAGAGCGTGGTTCTGTTGGCTAAATTGTGACTTACCATCAAGATGAATTGTGATTACATATTGGAATTAAAAGTTTTGTTCCAACTGTTTACCAAATGATGTTTATTTGGTAGAAAATCTGACTGAATAAATGAACATAGACCAAATGTGTAACTGATGATACACAAATAAGGAAGAATGTTTTGTTTTAGTAAAATGCAACTTTGGCTGCTGGTGTTGGAACATTTACTGTGCTGTGATGTGTGAGCAACGCTCTGCTTCATGAAAGTCTGTTGCGCCAGATTGAGTGTGTGACTTGAGAGGAAGCAAGCTCAGCTTTATAATTAAACTGTGTCTGAGTACAGCCTCTCAGTGGTTCAATACCAACTCACTCCTGAATCCATGCATTCCGACTGGCACGTGAATACATCACTTCCTGCAGCAATATTCTCACAGCTTTCTAGCAGCAAACCTTGCCCTAAAACTAAAGACACTTCACTGAGAGCATTGTTTTTCATTGATAAATCTGAGCGTTCTTTAGGGTGTCGTACACCCTGTCTCTGTGCTGTTCTCTTATTTATTCACCAGAGGGCTTTAAGTTCCTCTCAGTTTTCACCAAACACCACGTCGGCAACTCTAATGAGTGGACTGGTAAGGGCTAGCCTTTAGTAACGACACTCACTAACTAGGCACATGTTTTAATTGCTTCCTGTTCTTAACTGCTGGAGGCTGGAAGCACTGCTAACAATTGGGGAGGAGGGGGGGGGGGGGGGGGGGGGGGCGGCAGCGGGCCCTCTATGGTAGCTCTGCTGAACACTCACAGCATTCTGGCTGCAGGCTGTTTGTGCACAGCTGAGGAAACAAACTGTTCAGAAAGAGAGAAGAACAAACTAAATATAACCTGTGTGTGTGTGTGCGTGCGTGCGTGCGAGAGAACCCCAGAAAGCAGCCCACTCAATGTGATGCTGATTTCTTTTGACAGTTTTATGGCACAGGTCCAAAGTAGTGGATGCCCCCCCCCCCCCACCCCCCCCCCCCCACACACACACACACACACAACATCAGTTAGTGACACATAAAATATATATAATCACATTTTGGTTTTCATTTCCAAGTGGCCTGTGGATAAAATGTTCACCTATTTTCTTCCTGCTGAACGTGAGTTGTTGCCACATTTCCACGGTTGGGCTTGTTGACGATGAGGGCCGGGCCACTGGCCAGGGGGTGGGTGCAAGATGACAATCTTAGTTTTTTTTCTAGGACAAAGACATGTTTCTACAGTAATATTGCAGCATTTCTAAATCCAATAACTCAGTTCTCCAGTGTGACATATGTTGGAAGTGACACAATGTAGATTCTCTAAAATCTCCCTGTTGGTCCTTTGTTATTATTATAGTACGCTGATGTGGTTGGAGCATCTGGTTTAATAGATTCCCCTCAATGTGTCACAGGTTGGTTGGAGCACAGCAAGAGACTATTACACATTCCTGTGGTCACCTCTCCCGGAAAACTACGTGGAAGGCACCGCGGCCAACAGAACGGTGGTGTTTCAGGGTAAGATCATACCATCGCTTCTATAACTCCAACACCTTTTAATAACCGCACATAAGAGAGCTGTTCAGAAGACTGTAAAAGTTTCAGACTCAGCTGGTGGATATGGAGAACTGTCCCACTACCCCACTACCCCCAGATCTACGTGTTGGTGTCGGCTACACCTGAGTTTGTGTTTTTATTTTAATGCCACTTTTCATATGGAAATAATTTAAAGTGAGTTAAATGGAGGAAAAATGTGTTTGAGTTGTGTTTTTTCATTTTTGAAACCCGAGGTCATTACAGGCTGTCACTTCCTCGTATCTGAACTTAATGTGATCTTAGGTAGTGTGTGATCAGCATTTCCTAGTTTTACCTGTGGGTAGGTGTGTTAGTTTCCTAAGCTCTGTCCGGCATTAAGATTATTGACCTAATGTTTTCCTCTCCCCAGGGTACTACGTTCCCAACGACGACGGCGAGTTCTACCAGTTTTGTTATGTGACCCACAAAGGGGAGATCCGAGGGGCTAGCACACCTTTCCAGTTCCGTGCCAACAGCCCCTCTGAGGATGAGCTGCTCACTGTTGAGGATGAATGCAACTCTGACATCCTTGTAGTCACCACCAAGGCTGGTTTCCTTGAGGTACTTCATCTTCACTTTTTCCTTGCTGTAAATAATAAAAATGTATGAGAGTCGATTAGTTTATCCTTACTGGTTTTGTTTTTGAGCAGCAGAAGGTGGAAGAAGCTCAAAAAGAGAAGGATGAACTCCTCAGAAACATGGCCCTCCTGCAGCAGGAGAAGGAACAGCTGGAAGCGGAGAAGGAGAGCCTGCAGAAGGGCTGTGAGCGAGAGAAGGAGATCTGTGCTCAGCTGAAACGAGAGAACCAAGTAAGTTCAGGCTGGGTTGGCAGGGAAACTCGACTGTTCTAAACCATCTCATCTACTGAGTTGAACCAAAATATCGTCTTAAATGGTTTAGCATCATAAAAGTATTGTTTTAAATTGGCAGCAGAGGCTTAAATCAGTCATTTATGAGATGTTCTCCTTTTCCTTGAACATGTTCAGACCGTCGTACTCATGCGGTCTTTTAGCACCCCCTAGTGAAGCTGTCCAAACTCCCACACTGCCTCAGACTCCCGTTTCCCTGGAAGAGTAAATCACGCTCTGACAAATATAAATGTCTACATTATCAAAGTCGTCATTCCCCTTTTATAGCGCAACATTAAGTCTTGAAGGCATTGTCAGTAATAATTCATCTTGCCCGCTCCTGTGTCATAAATCTGCTGGTTTTGCAGATGAAAATATGATTACAGCGTTTGTGGCTGTTAATTTTATGACTTCACTTTTATAAGACTTCTTTTATGTGGTGTGAATATAAAGAATCCAAATTTCCTCCCATAAGCAAACTGTAACATTTTTTATTTTGTTTTTCTTTTTTAATGTCATCTTCAGAGTTCAAAACTCCACTTAGAGTCATAACTTTCAGTTTAGCGACTATGACGTTTTATGCTTTTCACGTGTTTTCCAGACGTTTTCAAAATTTTACCTGCTTGAAACAAAAGTTTGCTCTAATTTTAGGATTTATTCTGTAGGTTCACATTGGTCTTGGCACAAATTACAGTCATGGTTATTTATATAACAAACAAGCTGAAGCATTCAGCCATACTTTCTTTGGTTGTGTGTGTGCAGGAGGTGCAGCATGCATCCCAGGCTGTGCAGGAGGAGAAGGAGGATGTCAAGAGGAAACTGGAGGAGGCCACAGCCAGGATAGTACAGCTGGAGGAGGATCTGATTGGAGTCACACAGAAAGGCCTTCAAAAGGAAACGGAGTTGGATAGGCGAGTTATTTCAAATGTGACTCAATGATATGTTTTGGTCATATTTATTGTAATTGTAAAATAATTATTGGCACTGACATATGTGAGTAATGGGATGTTTGAAAATGTTTTGTTTAGTCTTAAAGACAGAGTAAAGAAACTCATGTTGGAGAAGGACGCTCTCGACTCTCACCTCAAGAATGAGAAAGATGAGAAGGAGCTTTACAAGGTGAAGTGGTTTTTGTTACTCCGTTAATAAATGCTAGTGCTGAGAAGACTTGTTCCTACTTGAGCTTTCAAAATGTTGGGTTCTAAATCTAATTTAAAGATAAATTGTTTCGTCTTTCAGGAAAAAAACTAGTGAATAAAGTTTGAACCGGTTTGTTTTAGCCGTAGCGCTGGTGAGATTTACAATCCAAGCAAATGATCACTTTGTTTTTATTATTTTAGAATCACCAAACTTAGAAACAGTCAACTTTTTTCTTCCTGTTTGTCTGTTTTCAGCATTGCGTTGTGTTTGGGAACATTTCAGGCTGAGCTTTACTCCGTCTGCTGTTTTTGTGTCTGGTGTTGTGGTGGGTGCTGCACAGGAAGTGGGAGTGCCACATACTGTACTGTCGCCACAGAAATGGAGCTAAAAACCCTCATATCTAATTTAACTTGTGCCATCACACGAGGGCTGTTGCTAAAGGACAACTTTATAGGCCTATCTTAATCTCTGCTTTGTGATTGAGGTCATGCAACATTTATTTTAATGGTCTTGTTTTAATATGCTCTTTGATACATGGTCTCAATATAAATGAGGCAAAAAGTTTGTCTTATAAACTCATCTTGTGTTTTACTGCCCCCTGTGTGGGCCGCGCAAATCTGTCTTTGATCATCGTCAGATTCACCTGAAGAACCGAGAGCTGGAGAACACGAAGCTGAGTGCCGAGCTGCAGATGTTGAAATCTGTGGATGTTAACAAGGAAAACACCATTGCACAGTTTAAAGAGGAGGTGGGCCGCCTGCAGACGTGCCTCACAGAGAAGGAGAAACAGCACCGAGAGATCCTGTCCAAAGTTTCCCCTCTGGTATAAACAGCTTTACATGTTACACTACAACACCTAAGCATTCACAGAGATTAAATGAATGAAACATATGACCTGAAGTATGTGCCTGTGACAGGGAGACATGAAGGTCCTGAAGGAGCAGCTACGGCAAAAGGAAGAGCAGCTCCAGGCCAACCAGCAGCAGTCCGCTCTGCTGGCTGCTGAGCTGAGGGATGCCTCCAGTACACGAGACCGCACCATGTCTGAGCTGTACCACATGAAACTGGAGGCGGATGCCCTCCGTAAGGCCAAAGAGGAAGCTCAGGCCCAGTGTGTCCGCCTGGAGGTCCTGGTGGAGCAGATGGAGGATGAAGCCAAGACAGAAGCAGTGAGGATGGCAATTAAAGCAGAGCTGACAACTTCTAGTCGCAAATTATTCTGCTTATTTATAGTGATAGCAGAGTTTTAAATCAGAGTGTTGATGTTTGTGTCCAATCTGTTCTGCGTTTACATAAACAGGCCAAAGTGGAGGAAGAAACCGCCACAGACCCGGCTGTTGTAGCAGAGCTGCAGAGAGAGGTGGAGGACCTAAAGCTGCGGCTGCACATGGCTGCAGAACACTACAAGGAAAAATACAAGGAATGCCAGCGACTGCAAAAGCAAGTGGTCAGACTTTCTGAACAGCAAGGGGTAGGTTCTGCCAGAAACCAGACAGTGCTCTTCACTCGTGCTCATTAAAGGCAAAGAGCAGGACTCGCTAGATTTAATGTTTCTGCAAATGATGTTTTCAAGAATTATATAATCAAAAGCAGGACGTCCTGTGCGTCATCCACTCACTAATCGGTGCTCAGCAAGCCAATGAACAATCAGAATGCTGGAGTAGTAACATCAGAGTAACATCAGAGTAACATCAGGGTAACATCAGAGTTACATTAGAGTAACATCAGAGTAACATCAAGGTAACATCAGTTACGTGAGAGTAACATCAGGTAACATGAGAGCAACATCAGAGTAACATCAGATAACATCGGAGTAACATCAGTTTACATCAGAGTAATATCAGAGTAACATTAGGTAACATCAGGTAACTTCACAGTAACGTCAGAGTAACGTCGGGGTAACATCATCGTAACATCGGTGTAACATCAGATAACATCAGAGTAACATCAGGGTAGCATCAGAGTAACATCAGGGTAACATCAGAGTAACATCAGGGTAAAATCGGAGCAACATTGAGTAACATCAGAGTAATATCAGGGTAACATCAGGGTAACATCGGAGTAACATCTGGTAATATCAGAGTAACATCAGGGTAACATCGGAGTAATGTCAGAGTAACATCGGGGTAATGTCAGGGCAACATCAGAGTAACATAAGGGTAACATCAGATAACATCAAAGTAACATCAGAGTAACTTCAGGTAACATCAGGTAACAGAGTAATATCAGTGTTACATCAGCTAACATCAAGTAACATCAGGGTAACATCAGGGTAACATCAGAGTAACATCAGGTAACATCAGATAACATCGGAGTAACATCAGAGTAACATCAAAAACATCAGGGTAACATCAGAGTAACGTCAGGGTAACATCGGAGTAACGTCAGGGTCACATCAGAGTAACATCAGGGTATTATTTGGGTAACAGAGTAACATCAGGTGACAGAGTAACCCCCAAATTCCACTACCTCCGCCCCCGCCCTCCGCAGCCGCTCGCTTCCGAACTCAATTTTTACTGCTACCCGCTCTACAACGGCTCCGCTCCGGTGCGGAGACCTAAGGTGGGCAAATAAGCATGCGCAGGATTTTCGAGATCTTGCGATACAGTCCGAGCAATAAACGCGGAAGTTAGATCCAAACACCCGTTGTTTGGGAGAAGCATCGAAATGAACTGTTTAATCTGCCCATCATTTGTGTTGAGAGATCAGCAGTGTTTGGATCAACAAAGTGTGACTACTTTGATAGTGGAAACTGTATTTATGGCTTACTTTTGTGCATTTAAACTTCAGCCGCCACTGATAGTTGTTAAAAGTTGTTAAACCTGTGCATATGAAACAAAAAACGCCTTTTGTTTATCGATGTATTGTGAAAAACGGAAATTGTGCTTGCTCCTTTTCCTGTTGGACGGTTGTGATTTCTGTCCATTTACTGCGGAGGTGCTTCGGCGTCCGGCAAAAATAGGATCGATTCTATTTTTGCCGGACGCCGGAACAGAGGGCGGCGCACGGCGCCGCACTGCCGGAGCACGGCCGCAGTAGTGGAATTGCTCTGATTGACTACAACGGGACCGATGTTGCTCCGGCTTTCGTGTCGGAGCGGAGCGCAGCGGAGCGGAGGTAGTGGAATTTGGGGGTTACATCTGGTAACATCAGAGTAACGTCACGGTAACATCAGGTTACATCAGATAACATCAGAGTAATGTCAGAGTAACATCGGGGTAACGTTAGGGTAACGTCAGGGTAACATCAGAGTAACATCAGGTAACATCAGAGTAACATCAAGTTAACATCAGAGTTACATGAGAGTAACATCAGGTAACATGAGGGCAACATCAGGTAACATCAGAGTAACATCAGGTAACATCAGAGTAACATCAGGTAACAGAGTAACATCAGATAACTTCGGGGTAATATCAGAGTAACATCATGTTACATCAGAGTAATATCAGAGTAACATTAGGTAACATCAGGGTAACATCGGAGTAACATCAGATAACATCGGAGTTACATCAGGGTAACATCAGAGTAACATCAGGGTAACATCAGGTAACTTCACATTAATGTCTGAGTAATGTCGGGGTAACATCAGAGTAACATCACATAACATCGGAGTAATGTCAGAGTAACATCGGGGTAACGTCAGGGTAACATCAGAGTAACATCACGGTAACACCAGGGTAACATCAGGTAACATCAGGGTAACATCAGAGTAACATCAAGGTAACATCAGAGTTACATGAGAGTAACATCAGGGTAACATCAGGTAACATGAGGCAACATCAGAGTAACATCAGATAACATCGGAGTAACATCAGAGTAACATCAGGTTGCATCCGAGTAATATCAGAGTAACATTAGGTAACATCAGGTAACATCGGAGTAACATCAGGGTAACATCAGGGTAACATCAGAGTAACATCAGAGTAACATCAGGTAACTTCACAGTAACGTCAGAGTAACGTCGGGGTAACATCAGCGTAACATCAGGGTAACATCAGAGTAGGGTTGTCACGGTAATCGGTGTAGCGGTAAACCCCGGTAAAAAAGTTGACAATAATAATAACGTCTTGTTTTTAAAAAACTATATTATCTCGGTGGGTTTACCGCGGCTGAGGTGTAGGCGCGGTGACCCTTACCAGCCACCGTATCATCTGCTGAAGTTGCTGGCGGCACATGCGCGCTTTGTTGTTTACAACCAAAACCTTCTTGAAGCTAAAGCTGAAATAATGGCCAAAGGAGGAGACGGCAGCGTTCAGGACATTTATTATCCTTTAAAGAAGACAAAGTGGGAAGTACGGGCATTTTTTGGATATTTGAAGAATGCCGAGGGACAGTTTATAGAAGACGGCTATCCTTTTTGCAGCACGTGCAGAAAAAGTGTTTGTGAAAGGCAGGAACGCTTCAAATCTCATGACACATCTGCGTGACCATCACCCACAACTCTACAGTCAACGCGAGGCAAGTTAACGTTAGCGTTTTAGCTAAAATGCCTGATCCGAGGATTTGGGTTGAGGGAGAATGCAACAAGTCGCTATATAAAGCAGCCGCAGCGCCGCTACCTGCATATAAACCGTGTCACGGACACCCCCATGTTGAAATGACGCTATGCATTACGGGGCTCCCAGGGGCAGATAAGAGTTGGTCTCTCTCCAAGAATAATTATGAATTTAACAATGATTACCGCCTGATGACATTTTCCCACATCTGCAAAGCTCACTGGAAGGACACAAACCAAGGACAATATTTTCCTGATATAGGGTTTATTACTCAAGTAAGGGTAAAAAAGTATCTGATTAGAAGGCTGCTTGAGTACTGAGTATCATCTGGTCTAATATTTTTAAAATGATGACATCAAACAGACAACAAATAAGAAGTTATGGGCAAATATTGGTATTTTAAAGACTAAAGGGGAAAAATGTAAACAAATAACATAATTACAAAATAACACATTTTAGGCAAAATTTAGACACAAACTGAGGACAATATTTTCCTGATATACAGGGTTTATGTAGTTATCTGAAAATGTAACATGTTTAAAAAAATACCACAATAATACCGAAAACCATGATACTTTTGGTCACAATAACCGTGAGGTAAAATTTTCACACTGTGACAACCCTCCATCAGCGTAACATCAGGGTAAAATCAGAGTAACATCAGGGTAACATCAGTTAACATCAGTTAACATCAGATAACATCAGAGTAACATCAGAGTAACATCGAGTAACAGAGTAACATCTGGCAATATCAGAGTAACATCAGAGTAACAACAGATTAACATCAGGTTACATCAGATAACATCGGAGTAATGTCAGAGTAACGTCGGGGTAACGTCAGGGTAACTTCAGAGTAACATCAGATAACAGAGTAACATCAGAGTAACTTCAGGTAACATCAAAGTAATATCAGTGTTACATCAGGTAACATCAAGTAACATCAGGTAACATCGGAGTAACATCAGGGTAACATCATGGTAGCATCAGGTAACTTCAGAGTAACGGTGGGGTAACATCGGAGTAATGTCAGGGTAACATCAGGGTAACATCAGAGTAACATCAGGGTAACATCAGAGTAACATCAGGTTACATCAGATAACATCGGAGTAATGTCAGAGTAACATCGGGGTAACGTTGGGGTAACGTCAGGGTAACATCAGCGTAACATCAGGGTAACATCAGAGTAACCAACTCTGATGTTACTCTGATGAAGACCAAATAAGTGTCGAAATCTTAGTATCTCGTTTGCATCCATTAAAACTTTTTTTCTCACTTTGAGGGCTCCAGCCGTCCTCTGTTTTCTGAAGAATTCTATATGTTCTAAGTGATTTTGATGTATTTTCTCTTTTGCTGCTGTTTTGTTTTTTGGGCAGGACCTGAAGAGAAGTGCAGCACCAGTGACCACGGCAGTGCCAGCATCAGGAAGTCCAGACACATCCGTGCCAGGTATCAGCTCAGTCTGATCATCAGGAATGAATTATCAATTTCAGATCCGAGCATCTGTGAGAGTTACCTAAAAGCCTCAGAATTATAATAACGATAATTTGGGTTGCTATTCGCTGAGTTTGTTATGTTTGGTATTTTCACAGATTTTGTTTATTTAAAATCACTTATGAAATGTTTTAATTGAGAAACTGAACATAATGTGGCTGCTTCAGCTGTTTACGCCTGATTTTACAGGCAGTCCAGGTTCGGCTGATCCCATGTTGGAAGCTATCATCCAGGAGAAGCTAAAGGGGATCAGCAGAGAGGCTTCTGACAGGAATGACAAGTACAGAAAGTGCAAGCAGATGCTGTTTGTAAGACTTTAAAAAATAGATTTTTGTTCATTTAGTTCAGAGTGAAAATGTGTCAAACTAAACGCTCAACGCCTGTCCTTCTGTAGGAGGAAAAGGAGCGTAGTGGCATGTTTGCTGATGAATTGGCCAAGTTGGAGCTGAAGTTCAAGGAGCAGCTGAAGACTAATGAGAATCTGAAGCTGCAGCTGGCAGAAGCAGAAGATCGTTACAAGGTGGGAGCAGCCGGTGTGCTGACGCTTAGCTTAGCTCAGGCTGATGGCAACGTTCTGGTATCTTCAAAGCAGCTCTGTCTGAGTGTTTTTACCAGCGAGTAGGGCTGCTCTAGCTCAGGGATGGGGACTTTGATGCTATCTCCTCTTGAACACAGCTACTCTGACAGTGTTGTTTATGAGCAGGCCTGTCTGCATGTTGACCTTTTACTGCTGTTTATGTCAGACTGGAGACGAGTAAAGCTCGGCTTGGAGGAGTCCTCTCTAGATGTGCAGCTAATGCTGGGCTTGGCTCAGGTCAGGCGGATATTTGCTTAATGTCTCAGCAGGAATTCAAACAGGTTGTTTTGCTTTGAGCCGTATTGTGCATAAATCAGAATTTTGCTAAAAGGAAGACGTTTATGGCTGGGATCAGTTACCCCAAGCTCCGACTGTATTTCAGGCACACAGTTTTCAATCAGCGGCACGATACGTCTGAAGACTTGGTTAGAAACCGTTTTCCCATTCCTCTGTTTTTGTGTCTGTTTGCTGCAGAGCCAGGTAGCTGAGAAAGGACGGGAGCTGAAGGAGCTGAAGGACACTCTTGCCCTTGTTGTGAAGGAGAAAGAAAAACTGGAGGGGGTTAGTGACGGCTTTATTTTCTCTTTTAAAGACTTGTCTAAAATGTCCCTGAGTTACTCCACACTCCTGCCATTTTCCCTCTCAGCCTGCCCTGTGTTTCACACGCCTCTAATTGTAGAAGTGAAGTTCTCCATGACTTCGGACCACTTAGTTTTAGTTGATGCTGGTGCCGTTCTCAGGGGTGAAGTCACACTATTTGAGGTTTTTACTGAATTAACTTCAAATAACATCAATAAAACAAAGTTATTTAAAAGTGAGACTTTTTGCTTTTCATTGAGGCATTAATTAAATTGATTGTGTGAAAAGTCCCAGCAGAAGCTGCTGGCTGGCTGTGACGACAAGCAGCCATACACGGCTTCTCGTAGCAGACGTGCTCATAAAGGCGGCCTGTTGTAACGTTTTGCTCTGGTCCTCTAGGAGCTCCAGAGGAGCAGCGGGAAGGGTGATCAGGGGGCCAGTGAGAGAACCAGTTTGGAGGATCTGCAGCCCGTTGTGCCTTTAGTCCTTCAGTATCCTGTCCCTTACACCCAGGACACCCCCACCCCTCTGCTGGTTTCTCAGAGCCCCAGTAAGCTGCACTTTGGAAACCCTTACTCCATCTCAGACTCCAAAGGTAAAAATAAGGGAAGATGAACAAATCAGATCTCTATATTCACTTTTTTTTATTTACAGATGTTTTCAATTTTTTCTCAGTAGATGAGACAGAGGAGGAGTTCCCAGACAATCAGTCGCTCAAGCTGCCCCCCGTGGGCCCGCCCTCCTGGGACAGCAACGTGGTCTGTATCCAACCCACACGCAACCACAGCCGGCCAGAAGGCCACGATGAGCCAGAGGAAAACAACAACGTAAGCCTCCTGCTCTCAGATTTACTCTTCATTAGTCCTTCGCCCCCTCGTCCCACTGCTCAGGAAAGCTGGCCTGTAAAATATAACTCGACAGGGATTTCTTCCCCCGTTCACCGGCTGCCATGTCGATATTTAGAAGTTGTCTGTTTCAGCATGAAGTCAGTGAAGCCTCCAGACGACGTTTTCTTTGCATTATCACACTTTTATTGAACATGAATATAGTTATCCTGTACATTTTTGTTTTCAAGTATTTAAAATACAATTTTTAAGACAGGCTTGTCGTTAGGTTGTGCTCGGCCAACAGGAAGAGGTGCAAAGTTTGCTCTGATGGAAATCAGAGCTCCTCTCCTGCTGAAGGCATGAGCAATCAATTCTGCCTCGACATCACATGGATTGTTTAAAAAGTGAAGAACCAGGTGGACGGTAACCAGGGAAACCACGCAGGTTTAGTTTAGTCTGTTACCATGGTGATTGTCTCATTCAGCCACACACCTGGATCTGAAACAAACCGGCTTTCCCCGTTTACCTTTTCACTCACTCACTCACTCACACACTCGCTCACTCACACGCTCGCTCGCTCACTCACTCACTCACTCACTCACTCACTCACTCACTCACTCACTCACTCACTCCTCACTCACTCACTCACTCACTCACTCACTCATTATGGTTCTTTCTGGCACCCAGGCAGCTGTGCTTTTCCAACGATGACAAAAAGGCAACTGTTACATGTTGAGAATCAACTCTAGAACGGATTCTTTAGTTTGTTTTAACTCTCCTGAAAGTATGTGTGTGGTTCTCTTCCAGGTCAACACCACTGAGCAGCCCACAGTGTCACAAACCCGTAGCTCATTTGTCAATGATGGACAGAACGCTTTTTGCTTTGATCCCAGGTAACACCGCTCCCAACACACACACACACACACACACACACACACAAAGCCGTGCCCTGCTGCTGCTCAGCATGTGCATCGGGACAGCACACACTAGTTTGTTGGGATGATGTGAGCAGCAGGCCGCCCACCCTCTGGTTGGCCCGGATCATTCCACTACCACCTTTAATACGAGTGCTCTCTCTGCTTTCCGTTAATGACATGCCCCACCCCCGTGTGTTGCAGCATGGACATGAAGCGATGTCCTCTCTGTGAGGTCATCTTCCCGCCCAACTATGACCAGAGCAAGTTCGAGGAGCACGTGGAGAGTCACTGGAAAATCTGCCCCATGTGCAGCGAGCAGTTCCCGCTGGACTGCGACCAGAAGGTCTTCGAGAACCACGTTCTCACTCACTTTGACGGCCACCTGCTCAACTTTGACTAACAGAAAGAAAAGTCAGCACATCGGCTCTGCCATCTTTCTGTTAGCCACTGGAATAATTCACCTTAAATCCTCTTCTGCATGTAATGGTGTGAAGATCCTCTTTTAAGGACAATTCTGACTTTATGCTCTCTTACTTTACTTGGAGATCCACGTCGAGATGACGTTTATAAATCAGTGTGTATTGCAGGGCTTGGGTATCAGTTAACAAAACATTTTTGTTCAGAGATTTCTCTTTATTTATATTTGGAAGGTCAAGACTTGTTCATGCAGAAATATATTTTAATGATTTAAAACTGACTTGGTTCTCACAGATCTGTTAGACTACAGGATGAAACTAATCAGGGAAAAAGATGAGTGTTTACCAAACGTACGTCTAAAACATACAGATGCTTCCCTCTTTGCTTTGCTGTACCAGTCAGTAGAAAGCAGCCGCGGTGGGAGGAACCCTCAGCGACTATATCTACACCATCATACAGAAGAACTTCATCTATTTTAGAAGATTTAAAGACGGACTCGATGTGTCTGTCCTGTGGGTAACTTTTGGTTCGGTTTCCTTTAGGTTTTTGTTTTGATCGTCTCTTAAGTTTCTTCATTTCATCAGCTAAGCAGTGCATGCTGAGCTTCTTTCAGATCTCCTTTTTGTTTTCTTTTACCGTCATAAATGATTTCATTCAAATAGCTTCATTAATTTAGTGGGTTTCGTGTCTCTAAATGAACTAATAAAGTCTCTGACATTGATTTGTGTCTGATTTATTAAACAGGAGTCGAAGGAACAGATAAACTTTTATTGTAAAATATAACAAAACTTTACATGAAGCAGCTTTATGAAGAAATACAGTACAACATCTATTTTTGTTTGACAGAAACACAAAAACATATTTAATGCACTTCTAATGTGACCGTACATTCTCTGTACACCCTTCCAGAGGTTCCACGCAGACGACTCATGTAAAGGTTTTCACCCAATGGCACAGGTTCCCTCCCCTCTGAGTCATACACTCGTTTCTGTAGGACAGCATTTCAAACAAACCAGTTGTAGAAATAAGTTTGAACTTTAATGCGAGGAACAGGCAACGTGGATTTTTTTCTGAGTTAAAATGGAGAAGAGGAATCGTCTACCGAAGAAACAAAACCAGTAATATGTACGGTCTGTGAAAAATGACTTTCTGTCTTGTTTCAGACACGCACAACCCACGTTGATGCAAATCGCAGTTTTCTAATTCCTTTGTTTATTCAGAGAACAAATACCCAAACCAACCTGGCGAAATCATGAATGATCAGGAAACCGGCGTTCAGTCCCAGCAGCCACAGATCACGTTAGTAACACCTGTCTGACAACACACACACAGCTAAAGGCTCTCAAAAAGCAACACACCCGTGCTACAGAAATTCAATAAGACTCAACAATAAAATAACTTTCCCAGCCTAAAACCATCTCGATGATCCCTGAGACTTTATTAAATATTCTGCAGACTACTTTATGTAAAACAAAGCAGAAAAACCAGTTTGAGTTCCTGCTGACATGTTAAGTTTACTCTGCAAAACCCTCCAATGTGGCTGAATCCTAACAAGTCTAAACCAGAGCGGGACCTCGGTGATGTGAGAGACTCGATACCAGTGTTGCCTTCGTTTCCTCCAAGGCTGTTCGAATCAGCTATTCCTACCTTAGTCGTGTTGGAACAGGTTGGTTAGGGTAGCTTTTCCCCCTCATTCAATGAAATGTTCGTTTTGTATTTACTCGGGTATTCTTTGTATGGTTGTGATGATCTGAAACATCTATGTGAGGAAAAAAAGCAAAACCAGAATAAATGTGTTAGCGAGGACGGTCTCAATCCCAGCACTAGCTGGGATCTTCAGGCTGGGCTGGATCAAAGATGGACCCACTCTGGTGTGAAAATTAAAATGTGTCGGGAACACCGTCCACTGCCAAGCTCTCCCCGCTGTGCACACGGATACTTGTGCTAAACACTCCAAATTCACATGGAAAAACCAAACCAGCCGCCCAAACTCATCTGAAAAGTATAGAGAACATCTTTTGGGGGGGTTGAAGATGCATCAATGTGACTTACTGAGACTGGTTTAATGCTGAAGTGTTCACAATGATGTGTTTTTTCTAAATTCCTATTATTTTTATGCATTAGAATCCTAGAAAACCAGGATTTTTTTTAAATGGCTCAGATCAACAGTTTGGCATCCTAACATCCGGTTTTCTTCAGGTCAGGTCCTCTTTTAGGTTTCCTGGATTTTTTTTTCCACTTTGGTGGTACCAAACAGCTCAGATTTCACATCATGGTGGCATTTTTATTATGGTGCTTTTGACAATAAAAACTTTAAAAGGGTGATTTTAAAACATTGCAAGAAAGTTTTGCTCCTCAGAAGCAAAACAACAGAAAAACAGAGAAAAAGGTTAAAGAAAGAACCGGTGGTGATGAAACGGAGGCGGTAAAAACTCCCCTATCCTGACTTTATCAAAAATGTAACATCACATTTGTGTGTTGCAAGTTTCTATTAAGTAAAATGGTTTAGTACACCATTAGTGTAAGCATGACTGTATTCTGTGTTATGTAATGGCTAATATTATTATTATTATTATTATTATTGTGACAGAGTATTTGGGGATGAGAACCTCATTGTTTTGGCACAAAGTGAGAGACATAGGAGATCCTTATGACTCTAACAATTAGACTGTCAGCTGAACGTATGGCTACCAACCCTAGCCGGTCCATTGAAAGGTTCCCTCATGAATGCAAAAGGCAAGCAGGACTCGCCTTGTCTGAAGTCCAAACTCAGGACTTTTTTTGGAACGGTTTGCAATCCAAGGCAACTGCTGTTGACATTGAAATCTAAAAACATTAAAACATTCAACGTGTGCAAATGCCTACTTGCTGTGTTTACACAAGAACAAAGCTAATGGTAGAAAACGCTGTGATGCTCGGTAACATTTACAAAGTGCTTTAGCCCCTTGCTGTAAAGTAGCAAGGAGAGAATTTATTAAAAGTTTTTAACTGAACTCGTAATCCCAACAAACAACTTTAATACTTTTACAACACTTGGGTAGGTCCGTGGAGCAGAAACGCGTGCAGAAAAATACCTGAGATAGCTCTTAGGTGCTCCCACTCAAGTGTTGTAAAACTCATCCAAAAATGGGGTTTTGTCGTATAAAAAGAAAAGATATTCTATTAAAACCAACAACGGGTTATTCACACTGAGGCTCGTGGATAATGCTTTAACACGTTGTGTTTTCATTCATGTCCGTCATACTTTAGATGATTTAGGCTCAAAGAGACACTGACTAGCATGACAAAGGCAAAGAGTTCCTCTTTTCTACCCCCTAACACCAACACACAAACAAATGTCAGGAAAATAATCTCCTCAATGTGCAAAATACAAAAGTGTGAACTTAAGAGGAATGAAACTGTAATACACTTAGTTAATGCAATAAACCTGGTGTTTCTGGAAAATTAGAAGAAGAACACGGTCAACTTGGACAAAGAATTCAAAGTGGGCAGGGCTGAAGGGAAAACCACGGCTGGTGATGGAGACGTGTAGGTGAGTGTGAAAGAGCGAGGGAACTGGCCCTCAGCCTCTACTGCTGCACCTTACGAATGAAGTCAGTGGAGACCGGTGGATGAAAGTTGATGGTGTGATGGCGAAGACCCTGAGACGTTTTGTAGCTCTTCCCACATCGGCACTTGAAAGGTTTGCGTACCCTAATCTGGGTTCGGTGGCCATTCTTGGCGTGGTACTTGATTCCATTCACATTCTGTAGCAGAGGAGGACATAAAAGCATCATGAGTAACAGTTCACCGATCACAACCACACTAAATGGTTGAGAGAAACAACATGTACTACAACACCAAAGGGTTTAGGCTGAATCTTTGTGCCTAACCCTAATTACATTCCTCTTTACAAGAAAGCAGACTTTATGACCACATGTTATATCAACAGAAATAGAAATACAAAGAAAAAAATGAATAAAGGAAAACATTCATGAGCGATTTAACCCAAAACCAGCGACGCAGTAGAAATATATATATATTATTTATTTAAAACTAAATCACATCATTACTTAATTCATTGAATCATTTGCAAATCCATTACAAAAACACTGAACACTAATTCCTTATGTTTTCATCTAGAGCTATATATTTTTGAATTTTAATTGATTTATACATATTTTTAATGCCATTACTGTATTAATCTGTATCATCCAAATCATTCCATAAATTAACCCCTCTTACAGAAATACAACCTTCTTTATTAGTTCTCACTTTTGCTTTGTTAAAAATACCACCTCCTCTGAGGTTATACTGATTATTCCTGTATTCATAGAAGGAAGAAGATTATTGTGAGCCTTAAACACTATTACCAATGTAAAGGTCAACAAAATCATGGATTTTTCACAATTTTAACTTTTCAAACATCATATTTGTTGGTGCATAAAAATCTGAAAGTGGCCTTTTTTGGAGTAAGAAATTAAGATTAATATTAGATTTGTAATTATTTCCCCATATTTCCAAGCCATAGGTTAAGTGAGGAGGTATGAGGGTGTTATACAATAATAAAATAGATCTTTTATCAGAACATTTTAAATTTGACCTATTACAGCAATCGTTTAAGCTAATTTTATTTTTAGTGCATTTATGTGTGATTTCCAGTTTTCCATCCGTGGTTACTACTAAAAATTTATTTTCAAAAACCCTTCAGTTTCTATATCATTCATTTTTAGAGTTTTATGATCCCTTAGTTCCATTTCCAACTATAATATATTTTGTTTTGCTAAGATTCGCTGACAGTTTAAGTCAAACCACCTTTTTGGTACAGACAGCTTTTTTCAGCTGTATGGAGGAGCAGTGTCAGGTCCTTCCCAGAACTGTACAGGCTGGTATCATCAGCGTATAAAATGCAATTAGCATTTTTCAAAACTTCAAAAAGGTCATTAATGTAAATTATGAGCTATTTAGGACCCAAAATTGAGCCTTGAGGAACTCCATGTGTAATTAATTTTTTTCCAGAGTCCACATTGATATCTATTGCTGAGATAACTTTCCAGCCAGACATACAGTATGCTGGCCTCCTGACACAAAACATTTCAGTTTTTTTTTAAATATAAGTGGTCTAAAGTATCGAAGGCCTTATTTAAATCAATAAAAAAAATGCTGCATATTCACTATTATCTATTGCAGTAGCTATGTCTTCCACTAGACCATAATAGCAGTTATAGTGGATCGATTTGAGTGAAATCCATACTGATGTTCACTTAACAAATTATACTTAACAAAATTGTCAAGCTTATGTAACGTGATGAAGGAACCATTTCTCCCCTGTAACAGCTGTTCTGTTTGACACAGTGTCAGTGTGCATGAAGCAGCCTCAAGGTCATGCATTCACTTCTAATGTTTCCATTCCAGCAGTGAAGACAGAAGAACGAAGAATGAACTCTTTTCTTTTAATTAATCAAAGAACTCTATTTTAATAAAGCTAATCAACACAACTGTTAGTCAATAATAACCATGGGACCGATCTGTGAAATCACAATGTTATGATTAATGTTTAATAAGGAAATGACGTATCCTAGCCACTAGTCAGCTGATACACAAGATAAATAATCAAGACACATTCCGGTCGCAAAATCCAATCTGAACCTTCACTCTGAAGCGTGGCAGAGTCTCTGTGGTGTTTATTTAATCTGTCAGCTGTGATTCATCCAAAATAATAAACACCAAGATTAATAAGTCAGAACAAGGCCATTTTGAGCTCAGTATTCAGCCAGCTCAAGATCCTCTGATGTTCATAATTGCTAAGTGGAGTACGGACCGGCCATCTGTACTTTTTTACTTTTAAACTGAGAACTGCCAAGCTGGGAAATCCTGTCGTTGTTATCAACAAAACAACGGTTCCTTCAGAATAAAAGCTGAACTCGCTGCTGTGAAACACCTGCCGCTTTTTACCTGGAGACTATCCAAAGACTGGTTTGTCGTGCTGTTGACGCTGTTCCATCGGCTCCAGTACCAGTGGAAGGTCGTGAACCTGGCAGCCTGATCTAAGACGGAAGTCCCACCACTGATAATGTAGAGCGACACAGATGGCGTCTCATGTTGTTTTCTGACCACGGTTCAAACGTTGATCAGTTAGGAGCAAAACATCATCTCCCACTCAGACTCGCTTCTTCAGAACGGAGGTTCTGAACTGACATCGCACCAACACACACTCCACCTCACATTCATCACTAGAGAGTTAGTCCTGTTAAACTGTTTAAAATCATTTAGGTAATAAACTTTGCTTGTACGTTTGGAGGTCTCTCTCTCTTCTCGTCTCTCAGATCATGCAAAGTGTATTAAACTTCCCTGTAATAAAAAGAACCACTCTTCTGGTTTAAAAGCCCAGGTCCAGAGATGGGGTTCATGCCAGGCATGGATCATTAATATCTCTGGTCATTAATGAAAATTTATTTCCTCTTTTAAAGATTGGAACTACTTCCTGTAAAAAGAACTGATTGCAGATTTATGTAAAAGGTTTAATCACATAAGTTTATTTCATTTTCATCATGTTGATATCAAAACAATCAGTTAATTATTTATTTTTTATTTCAACAATGTCAATAATTTCATTTTCCTCAACATCTCAACAAGAGAATTTAAATTGTTTTGTATGATCAAAATGTGATCTATGTATGTCTTTTGGTTCTTTTATTTTATTGGCTAATGTAGGTTTAGTAAAAAAAAACATTTAAGGAATCTGTAATTTCTTTCTCATTTTCGATTATTTGATTGTCATTTATAAATAAATTGGGCAATCTGAATGTTTTTCTTGTCTTTTTTGATTATTTCACTTAATGCCTTCCCAGTTCCTTGAGTTTCATTTCTATATTGTTCCAATAATTCATGACAATAGGTTTTCTTATTTGATCGCATTATAAATATGAAGAGATGATATCTATTCCATAGACACTACAAAATCTACTTCTGACAGAGATTTTTTATAAAAGGTTAAAAGTAGGAATTTTCTCATATTGTATTTGAACATTTCGTGATAAAAAATAAATGTTAATGTTGGGACTAAATTAACTGGATTGAATATCTAATTAACAAGAGCATCCTTAACCAGCAGCATCTTAACCCCTGTGTGGTTTGCTCTTTTGTTACTCAGCCAGTGTTCAAGTGTCTGGTGGACTCGATAGTTTGGCTTTCAAATCAACATTATCAAACAATTTTATGTTAAAATACTCAACAGATGATTACTTCATCTCAATCCCCAGCCATATGAACAGGAAACATGGTTAATCAACCAAAATACAAGTTTTTTTTTTTTTAATAATACACTGGAAGAGTAGCGCTGTTGGCTCATGGGCACGCCGGAACCTTTCCTGATTTGGACAAATCACCAAAACCAAGAACGCCAAACAGTTCCATCCCTGGCAAGCCCGTTGAGCCATCTTCTTTGAACTCTTCAACTTTCACATCACCTACTGACCTGGCTCCAAGAACGGCAAAACCGACGCCCTTTCCCATCAGCACTAACAGTCCAGTCACCAAACCAACCTGAGACCATCGTTGACCCTGAACGTGTCCTGGCATTGTTGCATTGGCCGTTGGAGGGCAGAATTCACGCAGTCCAGGGCACAGACCCTGTACCGCCAGAGACACCACCCAATCGCCTCTTTGTGCCTGCCCAGTGCCGTCAAAGACCCTGGTCAGGGGGAATTCTTCTCCCGTTGCCGAACATGACGGTGTGGCCCGGGCTCTCCGGTTCATCCACCGCTTTCTCTGGTGGCCCTCCTTGGCACAGGAAGTCAAGAGCTTTGTGGAAGCCCTACCTGTGCTCAGGCCAAGGTCCCTATGTCAGACTGGACTCCTCCAACCTCTGCCAATTCCATCTCGACCCTAGTCACACATAGGCGTGGATTTGATCAAAGGTGTTACCAACCGTCGATGGCAGGAACTCCACTGCTATATTTGGTTCCCATTTCTCTAGGTCCGTCCACCTGGTGGCTCAACCTGGTCTCTCCACAGTCAAGACGATGGCAGAGCTCCTCATTGAGCATGTCATATGACTCCACAGCTTTCCCCAAAATGCGGTCGTGGACCGAGGGCCCCAATTCAGCGCCTGGTTCTGGAGGGCCTTCTGTCAACTCATTGGGGTGTCTGCCAGCCTTTACTCAGGATAATGGGCTCAACACACGGGAGGCGACATCGCCTCTCCTCCATTCATTTTCAATGAGACGTGCGCGACAAAGCGATAATCGCGGGTCTCCCTACTACCAAGCAAAACGCGAAAAACGTGCGTGTGAAACTTTGCACTCGTGCACGTGTCGTGCACGGACAACCCAGCGACGCGATCCCAGAAAGTTGAAACATTTTCAACTTTTCATCGCTGTCGCTCGAACGAGGACCAATCAACAGAGGTTTTGTTGCGAGTCCCCACATGCCAAAGATAGTGGCAAGTACGGGGTCAAAAGGTGAGCCACACTGGACTGGCTTGTGCGAGCAAAATCAGCCAGCCGACAGGAGCTGTGCTGCAGGTCAAAAAACTGTGGTCAGAAACAAGGGTCACACAAGGGTCACAGGGACAAGAGGACAGAACTGGGCAAAAGGTCAGGTTGGCTGGCCCCACCCCTGGATCCACCCCTGGCTTGGAAAGATGGGATTGGAGGAGAACAGAGTGAAGACAAGCCCATCAGATCCAGAAGACCTCTCGGGAACATTGGAGAGAAACTGAAGAATACTGCAAAAGATGATGTAATGACCTGTGTTAAGAAGAATGCTGCATGTAGTGAAAATGACACCAAATGTTTTGTGTTGAGCTACAAAGTGTGTATCTGGTAAATGACCCCATGACCTTAAGCTGGCCCAGGAAGGGTATATAAGAACAGCTCTGAACAGCAGAGAGAGCTTGAGAGAGAGAGCTGGGGCAGGCGACAAGAAGAGACAGAGCAGATTTGGAGGGGTCATCCCCCGTCCAAACCTGGATGGGGGATGAAAGAGTTTTTAGAGAGTTTTTGGGGAGATTCTCAGAAGACAGGAGCTAGTGTAAACTAACTCTTATTTAATCATTTTGAACTAATTCCTCCTTGGGGGATAGCAGTTGTTTTTTATTTACCCATTTTTGTATTTTCTATTTTGTAATAAACCTTTTTTGGAAAAGAAACATAATCCTGATTCTTTCAGGTTTTCTCTAAAGCTTCACGTTTGGAGCCCAGGCCATAATTGCACAGAGGTAAGCATGTCGATCATAGGTCTCTGAATTATCAGGACTTACTTTACAGTTTGTAATAAAATAATATAAAGAAACCTTAAGATAAGAGGAGTTTAACTCCCCCCTCCTTGCGAGTAACGAGTTGTCTTAAGGGCGATAAAAACAGAATATTAGAGGTTATTTTGGCTCTGATTGCAGGTTGAAAAAGTCTCTAACAGCTGGAGTGGTTGGATTAATAAATAAATTGATAAACTTATGATAGCCTGATCAACTAGCATAAATCATTTTATAGTTACCAACCTCCCACATAAGCTGTTAGAGGCGCAATTAATCCGGATAACCCAAACAATTGCTGAGAGGCTTGGCTTGCCTCCAGACTTCTCTCTAGTATCTTAACCAAAAGGTAACAAGTTTAAAAGAAGTGGAGTACTCTGAGGCTGGCTATTCGTACAAGTCATTTCACCTTTAAAATAAAAGACACGATTCTAATTAGGTGGTCCAAACCCGGGTCTAGTACGATTAAACTCGCCGACACCCCCACTCGAACCCTGATGGATGCACCGTCTCATAAGTTCTAACGGAACCGGTAAATGGGACGGGCACGCGACAGTTTCATTTACTGACCAATGAGCGGACAGGATGCTCCGTACACCTCCGAGCAAACATGGAGGAGAAGTTGATTACTATTATGTTTTATATAATAAAATCAGAAGTAAGATTTCACATAACTCTAGCAGCACCTTGTGAAACATCATATCTACCGCTTTATTAACTCTGAACAGCTTAAATAACCTTAATTCCCTCCAACCTGACACAGCCAAACAAAACAACGGAAGTTTTGATTTCGCCATGGAACAGAACGCGTAGACGGCTTTGCCGCTGGCCGCTGCAGCAGATCTCCTCCCGTGTGACTGGTAATAAAAGCGACAGCGACGAATTTCACTGATCGCGGTCGTTTGTCGCCTCCCGTGTGTCGAGCCCATAACCAACCAATAGGTCTTTGTTGAGAGCATGTAATACTTTGTCATGTACACAATAAACAATGTTTAACTTTTTATTTCCTTCAATGTCCCTAAAGGGGCACGCTGTGCCGGATATGGTAGGAGATAATGAATTTCTTTAGGAGAAATGAGTTTCTGCAGAATAAACAGAGAATAACGTTTGTTTACAGACTTTGCCAATTCCATGGGGGCATTGACACAAAAACAGAAAATCTCATCAAAACACATTAGCTCAAGGCCAGGCCAAAGGATGCAATCAGGAGTATTACTGGGTAAGGAAAACTGGAGGTGTGCATTTTGTCATAATAAATGCAGTCTTATATTATGTGTTTTTAATGAAAAAAGAAAAGAAAAAACAACTGAAGATTTGTTGTGGCCCAAACACACACACACACACACACACACACACACACACACACACACACACACACACACACACACACACACACACACACACACACCAGGCGTGAATAGAAACTGCTATAGATGTATGTGACTTGCTGCTAAAAACAACTTATTTTCGACTCATTTGAACTTGTTTCTGTGGATAAAAAAAACTTGATCTCATCCTATTTTTTCTAGTATTCTCAGCTGACGAGGTAAAATGTTTTATAAAATATCTTTGAATAAGATGTTAGAATGTGAATGAGGCATACCTTGTATCTCTTTTTACAGCCTGGAACAGGACAAGCAAACGGCTTCTCGTCTCCTCCATTCATACTCATGGAGCTCAGGATGGACTCAGAGCTGATGGCACTCTCTGTGGTCCACGATTCATCACTGTCAGATGCCTCAAACTCTACATCCGCTTCATCACAATCACTACCTGTGGGAATTTATAAAGCAGAATATCATGAGAAGAAGGCCTTGATTCAAGCTTGTTGACTTCCTGATGGTAAAATCCACATTCTTCTCTTTATATATTAAACCGTTCAAACAAAAAAAAAAAAAACCTATGTAAATGACATATTTTACAGCCCCTCCCTGGGCTGCCACCTTACCGTGGTGGAGGGGTTTGAGTGTCCCAGTGATCCTAGGAACTATGTTGTCTGAGGCTTTATGCCTCTGGCAGGGTCACCCATGGCAAACAGGTCCTCGGTGAGGGAGCAGACAAACAGCAGCCCGAAGACCTCTTAGGGAATGTCTGGCGGAGTCTCCTGTCAGAAGAAGTTTCAATTCTCACCTCCGACAGAACTTCTAAGATGTTCTGGGGGAGACGGTGGACATTGAGTCTGAGTGGGCCATGTTCCGTGGGCCATGTTCCGTTCTTTCATTGTCAAGGCGGCCGACCGGAGCTGCAGCCGCAGGGTTGTCAGTGCCAGTCGTGGTGACAATTCCCAAACCTGCTGGTGGACATCGACGGGTAGGGATGCCGTCAAGCTGAAGACAGAGTCCTATAGGGTGTTTTTGGCCTGTGGGACTCCAAAGGCAGCTGATGGGTACTGGCAGGCCAAGCGGAATGCGGACCATTTGGTCACAGAGGCAAAACCGGGGCATGGGAGACCATGGAACAAGACTTCCGTATTTGAGGAGATTCTGGTCCACCATCCGGTGCCTCAGAAGGGGAAAGCAGTGCACTACCAACACTGTTTATAGTGGGGACGGTGTGCTGCTGACCTCTACTCCGGACGTTGTGGATCGGTGGGCAGAATACTTTGAAGACCTCCTCAATCCCACGTTAAACAGGTTTGTAGGATTTCCTTTTTCCACCTTCGGAATATTGCTAAGATTAGAAGCATCCTTTCCAGGAGTGAAAAACTAGTTCATGCATATGGGGTACCTGATACGGCACGGGCTGTTAGGTCCCCGTATGACTGGTGCCAGAGCTTGGTCCGCATTGCCGGCAGTAAGTCGAGCTTGTTTACGGTGAGAGTTGGACTCCACCAAGGCTGCCCTTTGTCACCGACTTTGTTCATAACTTTTATGGACAGGATTTCTAGGTGCAGCCAAGGTGTGGACTGGATCTGTTTAGGGTGGCCTGAGGATTGAGTCTGCTTGTTGCAGATGATGTGGTCCTGTTGGCTTCATCAGAACATGATCTCCGGCTCTCATTGGAGCGGTTCTCAGCTGAGTGTGAAGCAGCCGGGATGAGAATCAGCTCTTCTGTAGCTGCCAGCTGAGCAGCTGATGGTGATGACCCTTAACTGGCTCACAGAATTCATAAATAAGCCACACCCTTCCAGAGAAAAAAACACAAACTACTTGGGTTAATTTGTTTGTTGAAGACGACACTGTTTGAAATTATTTAGTCTGAATTTACCTCAGCTGCACGTTGCCCACTGCATCTCCACGTAAGTTTTGTTGTATTGATGCTTTGTTTGGGTAACTTGTTTGACACTCTATAGTCATTGTTTGTTTTTCTTGTCTATCAGCTAGTCAGAGCTACAGATGAAGCAGCTTATGAGGAACTATTGTTTTGTTTAGCACCCTTGGCAAATGGAGCAAGGTAAATGTAAGAATATAATCTCTTTTCTGTTATGACATTGAATTTGTGTTCACCTTTATTTATGCTTTGTATATTTAAACAGTTTTCACGGTGCAACTCATGGAGTGAAGTCCAAGGCATCGGACCAGAGAAACAAATAAAAGTTTATGCACCTGTCGAGGCTCTCCGTTCTTTTCTTCATGGTGCCAGGGACAGCTACATCTTCTAAATCCGAGACCATGGTCGTTAGTCGGAAGGGTTAGGGTTTGCAGGTTAGGGTGGCTGGGCTCTCCCTTAGAGATAGGGTGAGAAGCATGGTCTTCTGGGAGGGGCTCGGAGTAGAACCGCTGCTCCTCCATATCGAGTGGAGCCAGTTGAGGTGGCTTGGGCATCTGGTAAGGATGCCTCCTGGACTTTTCCCTGGTGAGGTTTTCCGGCACATCCAACCGGGAGAAGGCCTAAAGGAAGAACCAGGACACGCTGGAGAGACTGTCTCACAGCTGGTCAGGGAACACCTCAGGATTCCCCCGGAGGAGCTGGTCCAAGTGGCTGAGGAGAGGGAATGCTGGGCCTCCCTGCTTAGGCTACTGCCCCCGTGACCTGATCCCAGATAAGCGGCCGAAAATGGATGGATGGATGGATGTAAATGAGGAGTTAAGCAACTGGCCTATAACCAGAGGCATGCAGGTTCGTGCCCCACTCAGTCTGACCCCCTTTAGCCTCATTGCCTGCTGGTGGTGGTGGGAGAGACTGGTAGTGTCTGTGTACGGCAGCCTCACTTCTGTCAGTGTGCCCCAGGGCAGCTATGGCTACCATGTAGTGTGAACGTGTAAACAATTGTAGTGCAAAGCACTTTGGAGTCCTCTGACACAGGACAGAGCTATTCAAGTGCAGGTCATTCCATTATTATATCTCCATACATAATATCTTCTTGGGTTGAGGTTATCAAGAACCCTGTGGGTGGTTACCTGTAGGTGTGCTGCTGCGGAAGGAAGAGGACGGAGTGATTGGGGGAGTAACTGGAGGGGTGAGGTTTCCACTGGTGTGGCGGGGTGGTGTGGGAATTTTGCTGCGGGACAGATTGCCAGTTAGAGACAAGGACAGCTTGGGCTGCACCTTTTTCTTCAGAGCCTCGTGTTCTCGTCTTGCTGCGTCCGTCATAAACCTGGCATTAAAAAATGAAAATATCTCAATATTCATAGAAAAATAAACCTATATGGAAAGAGCCCCATTACTTTGGGGCTGTAATATTAATAGGTTTGCAACCAACGGGTGTATGTTTGAAAAGAATAAAAAAGATACACCATTGGGTTTTATAGACATTAGTAAAGTCTTTGATAAATGACTATAATAAAAATAAAATGTTAACATAGACATTGTTAAAGCAATACTGGGATTAACACATTAAGCCACAGCCACATCAACACGTGATGGTGAAGGCAGGGAGACGGCGGCAGACGTCATATGCTAGCTTCTTGCAGAACGCCTTTATAACCTCTATTAAAGTCCCATATCAAAGACAGCTGGGGTGAACTTAAGGCAGTAGAAAACCTCAGCTACACAATACCACAGCAATTCGTTTAAGCAACCCACCAGATGGCAAGTGAAACAGTCAGCAGTACCTCTTAGACCTCCTGTGACACGTGTAATAAAGACGGACACAGAAGAGCGTCCAAGATTTTTCTATCGGCATAGATGTGTTCATTTTTAAACTAAATGCTTTTCTTTACCTGTTGATGTAACTTAGAGCAACATAGGTGGGCTGCTGCTGCTCCTGCTTCTCCAGAAGACAGGGGTCTGTATCTGGAAGGAAACAGAAATGTTCCAAGCACGTGAAAAATCAAACATGGCAAACAAGACAAGAATAATTACATATTTCTGTTACATTCATTTGTCCCTTATTTACACTGAATCTTTAAACACTCTTTGTGAGGCTGATACAGCACATATTATGAATAAAATATAATAGAAAATCCTTTATTGTCCGTCAGGGAAATTTCAGTATTAGATAAATGTCAAAATGTGTGACTCAACGCGAGTTAATTACACCGAGAAAAACAAGTTCTGTGATCAAATGTTGCTTAGATGCACATCCTCCCTCACTGTAGATAGAATGTTTAGATATAGCTTTTAAATTCTCACTATTATATGGATGTCTACCTTGGTGTATTTGTAATGATTCTTAAATTAGTCAAGATGCATGGTCCTTGAGCTTTACAATTTACTGTAAAAAATAAAAGTGCTTACAGAAAAAATCTGGTAAAATGTTTACTTCAACATAAAGCAAAACACCAAAACATACAAAAAGTGGTCGAGAAGCAGCGGCCAAGTCATAGAGCAGTACAGAACCTGTGAACGCGGCAGAAATGGAAAAAAATAAACTTCCTCGACCTAAATACCAGTCCTTTCTGTTTTGGTGGCCTGAGGATCAGGTCTCTGCTTTTTGCAGATGATGTGGTCCTGTTGGCTTCGTCAGAACGTGATCTCTGGCTTTCGCTGGAGCGGTTTGTAGCCGAGTGTGAAGCAGCTGGGATGAGAATCAGCTCCTCTAAATCTGAGACCATGGTCTTGATTAGGAAAAGGGTAGAATGCCTTCTCCGGGTCAGGGATGAGGTCCTGCCCCAAGTGGAGGAGTTTAATTATCTTGGGGTCTTGTTCACGAGTGAGGGAAAACTGGAGCGTGAGATCGATAGGCGGATTGGTGCTGCATCTGCAGTGATGCGGGCGTTGTACCGGTCTGTCGTGGTGAAGAGAGAGCTAGGCTTGAAGGCGAAGCTCTCGATTTACCGGTGGATCTACGTTCCTACCCTCACCTATGGTCACAAGCTTTGGGTAGCCACCGAAAGAATGAGACTGTGGATACAAGCGGTCGAAATTAGTTTTCTCCACAGGGTGGCTGGGCTCTCCCTTAGAGATAGGGCGAGACGCTCAGTCATCTGGGAGGGATTCGGAGTAGACCCGCTGTTCCTCCACATCTAGAGGAGCCAGTTGAGGTGGCTTGGGCATCTGATTAGGACGCCTCCCTGGTGAGGTTTTCCGGGCACGTCCAACCTGGAGGAGACCTAAAGGGAGACCCAGGACACATTGGAAGGACTATGTCTCTCACCTGGCCAGGGAACACTTTGGGATTCCCCGGAAGAGCTGGCCCAAGTGGCTAGGGAGAGGGAAGACTGTGCCTCTCGATTTAGGCTACTGCCCCCGCTACCCGAGTCCAGATAAGCAGAAAAAAATGGATGGATGGAAAAACAAAACAAGATTCTGATATAGTATCTAGTTTATGAAAAACATAGCTTGAACACAGTAAAGCTGCTTACAGAAAACATCATTTTTCATTTTAAATTTTGGTCAACAATGAAAAAATTATTTGACACAAGGATTAATGATGGCAACAAACACAGCTCAAAAAGTAAAGGGAACACTTAACAAGTCAGCCCCACTTCTGTGAAATCAAACTTAGGAAGCTACCCTGACTGACAATCAAGTTCACATGCTGTTATGCAAATGGAATAGACAATTATTGAAATTATAGGCAATTAGCAAGACATTCCCAAAAAAGGAGTGGTTCTGCAGGTGGTGACCACAGCCCACTTCTCAGTTTCTGGCTGATGTTTTGGTCACTTTTGAATTCTGGTGGTGCTTTCACTCTTGTGTTAACATGAGACAACGTATACAACCCACACAAGTGGCTCAGGTAGGGCAGCTCATCCAAGATGGCTCATGAATGCGAGCTGTGGCAAGAAGGTTTGCTGAGTCTCTCAGTCCAGAGCATGGAGGCGCTACTGGGAGACAGGCATGCACATCAGGTGACATGGAGGAGGCCGTGGAAGGGCAATGACCCAGCAGCAGGACCGCATTTGTGCGAGGAGGATCAAGAGGAGCACTGCCAGAGCCCTGCAGAATGATCACCAGTGGGCCACAGATCTTCATGTGTCTGCTCAAACGGTCAGAAACTCCATGAGAGTGGTATCAGGGCCCGATGTCCAAAGATGGGGGTTGTGCTTACAGCCCAACACCATGCAGGATGTGTGGCATTTGTCAGAGAACACCAAGATTGGTAAATTAGTCACTGGCGCCCTGTGCTCTTCACAGAGAAAAGCAGGTTCACACTGAGCACATATGACAGGCATGACGATGTCTGGAGATGCCGTGGAGAATGTTTTGCTGTCTGCAACATCCTTCAGCACGACTGGTTTGGCAGTGGGTCAGTAATGGTGTGGGGTGGAATTTCTTTGAGAGGCCACATAACCCTCCATGTTCTCACCAGAGGTAGCCTGGCTGCCATTAGGTACTGAGAAGAGATCCTCAGACCCCTTGTGAGACCATATGCTGGTGCGGTTGGCCCAAGGTTCCTCCTAATGCAAGACAATAATAGGCTTCATGTGGCTGGAGTGTGTCAGGAGTTCCTACAAGACAAATGCATTGATGCTATGGACTGGCCCAACCGCTCCTCAGACCTGAATCCAGTTGAACACATCTGGGACATCATGTCTTGTTCCATCCACCAACACCATGCGCACCACAGACTGCAGGCTGTGGATGCTTTAGTCCAAGTCTGAGAGGAGATCCCTCAGGAGACCATCCACCACATCATCAGGAGCATGCCCAGGTGTTGTAAGGAGGTCACACCTTCTCAGTGGCCTAGTGGTAGAGTGTCCACCCTGGTACCTCTCCCCATGGGGATGGGTCAAATGTGGAGATGTAGTTTCAACTGTAGCTACGTTTACATGCGCCAAATTTCCCCTTACCAGTTCAAATCTTGGTTGATCTGAAATCCCAAATCTCTGTTTAACACTAACTGAAATGATCCGGTCATGCCGTGAGTATACCCACACCAAGCATTCAGTCAGATTACTGGGTTGAGCATGTGCAGAGTTGTCTTTCCCAGAAAAAAAATGTAAACAAACTTCATTTTATCCACACTTCTTTCCCCCGGCATTTTATTTTCTCATTCTCTAGCTTTATCCATTGACTTACGCCCCCCCCCCCCACCCCCCACCCCACCCCCCGTTATAGACCTTTTTTGCATTTTTACCTGTGTGCTTTTGTTTTTACTGACCACTTTAACTAAGCTACAGGCTCAGTGGTACATATTGTTGCTGCTCCTCCACCACAGGATAACCCAGAATAATGATCTCCCGCTCACACCGTCCTCCACTGGCCTGAGCGCATGTGTACACTGAAACTGTTCACATGCGCAGTGGGCAGTATTTTACTCCAACAATCCGAATGGATGTGTACACGGACGCCAATCGGCATGGGGGGGGGGAGTCGGTAGGTTCCCTGGAGTTTTTGACAATTAAAATTGCGCCCACATTTTCAAAGTTAAACACATTTCTTTTAACAACGGTAGTTTCTGCTTCAGCCCTCTCCCCCCTCCCCCTGCGCAGCGGCCGCAAACTCACTGATGCGCCTGCAGCCTCTCAGAGTTCCTGCTGATATAAACATTAAAATAATTATTTCATTTTCTGTTCCTCACTTCTGATAACCTTCAGTGGTGTCTGTTTGTTGCAACCACCAGGTACAAAAACTAACTTGTTTTTATTTGACTGTTTTTCTGTCTTATCTGTTTATTATCTTCCTGCATCTCCTCTCAATCCTAAAGAAAAACTGCTACCTGGGTTCATTCATATTCACCTCATGAGTTACCTTTGAACTGCAGTTCTAAAAGATCTACCGACCGCAAAAACAGCGGAGTGCCGCTGCTCGCCGGCCGACTACAACGGGACCGTTTTTGCTGCGGAGTTCGTGCCGGAGCGAAGATAGTGGAATCTTGGGGGTGCGTCACCGGAGAACAAAACAGGTGATGCGCCTCGCTCCGCAGCAGCGAAACGCATCAGGCACAAATGACAGACAGAAAACATGAAAGGAAATCAGCCGACATGAACGATTGCGTGTTTAATTTGTTTTTGAGGTGGTGACACCTGATTTGGCGGTGCTCAGGACGCAGATGTCTGGAGCGCGTCAACAATCAGAGCTTTGCATGCGCAAGCTGGTTAAGGTTAGGATGGGGGTGAGGGGAAGGTTAAATTGCAAGAGGGAAAAGGTCACAGTTTGGTTAAATGTCCGTTTTACCGCCGGTGTCAGTACCGACACTCTGGCACAGCGCGTCGCCTCTGCCTCCCGACGCAGGGGCTCATCACCTGCTGGAGGACTGCATCTTGTCAGTCATTATCACGTGACAGCAACTAGTCGATGACAGGCATTAAAAGTCACTACAGAGCCGTGAAGTCGACTAGCTCATACAACCCCTACTGTGCACTCAGAACTTATTGTCCACTTTAATAAATCACCAGTAAAACCAGTGTAGAGCATCACAAACATATTAGGGGGAAATGAAGGATTGAGTATTTTGGTGTTAGCAGAATCCGCGCCACGTCCTTCTTATTGATACTGTTCTAACAAGAAGACGTTTCCCTGGCAGCTCTTAAAAAGCTGCCATGCAGACACCACATTGCTCACATATGACCACATTTTGACACACACTGTGCTGTTGCCGTCCCGGCTCCACACATCCATCTTCCTCAGCGGTGCTAAATGTGCAACAATAGCCAATCTCCACACCCTGAGGAGAAGCGTGCCTGACTTCAAACGCTCTTCCCGTTGCTGGCTATGTGGGAGAAGAGAGATGCCCCATAAAACAACAGCTTGTAGCAGCAGAGCCTCCTTGTCTGTGCTGTGAAAGGCTGCTAGCCCCATGCGGTTCAAAACTATCGCTGGTTTCCATCCAGTATGCTCGGTTACTCAACACTTCTACCTAAGGCCTTTTGAAACAATAACTGTTAACGTTTACAGGCACGTAAAAA